ACGTGCACTAGGACCTCAATTGGTACACGTGCACTAGACCAATTGGTACACGTGCACTAGGACCCATTGGTACACACGTGCACTAGGACCTCAATTGGTACACGTGCACTAGGACCTCACTGGTACACGCACTAGAACTCAATTGGTACACGTGCACTAGGAACTCTACTGGTGTGTCGTGCAACCCGGTCGTCCACTGGTACACCTGGTCGTTCACTGGTACACGTGGTCGTCCACTGGTACACCTGGTCGTTCACTGGTACACCTGGTCGTCCACTGGACACGTGGTCGTCCTTCGCTACACCTGGTCCTCCACTGGTACACCTGGTTCACTGCTACACCTGGTCGTCCACTGCTACACCCGGTCGTCCACTGGTACACCTGGTCGTCCACTGTTACACCGGGTCGTCTACTATACACCTGGTCGTCCTCTGGTACACCTGGTCCTCCACTGGTACACCTGGTCGTCCACTGGTACACCTGGTCGTCCACTGCTACACCCGGTCGTCCACTGGTACACCTGGCCGTCCACTGGTACACCTGGCCGTCCACTGGTACACCTGGTCGTCCACTGGTACACCTGGCCGTCCACTGGTACACCTGGCCGTCCACTGGTACACCTGGTCGTCCACTGGCACACCTGGCCGTCCACTGGTACACCTGGCCGTCCACTGGTACACCCGGTCCACTGGTACACCTGGTCGTCCACTGGTACACCTGGCCGTCCACTGGTACACCTGGCCGTCCACTGGTACACCTGGTCGTCCACTGGTACACCTGGTCGTCTCGGTACACCCGGTCGCCCACTGGTACACCTGGTCGTCCACTGGCACCGGTCGTCCACTGTACACCCGGTCGTCCACTGGTACATCTGGTCGTCCACTGGCACACCTGGTCGTCCACTGGTACACCTGGTCGTCCACTGGTACACCCGGTCCACTGGTACACCTGGTCGTCCACTGGTACACCCGGTCCTCCACTGGTACACCTGGTCGTCCACTGGTACACCCGGTCGTCCACTGGTACACCTGTCGTCCACTGGCACCTGGTCGTCCACTGGTACACCTGTCCACTGGTACACCTGATTGTCCACTGTCAGGTGTGTGTTGGAGCTGTGAGGTGTGTGTTGGGCTGCAGGTGTGTGATGGAGTGTAGGTGTTGGAGCTGTGCAGGTGTGTGTTGGAGCTGTGCTGGTGTGTGTTGGAGCTGTGCAGGTGTGTGTTGAGCTGTGCAGTGTGTGTTGGGAGCGTGCAGGTGTGTGTGGGAGCTGCAGGTGTGTGTTGAGCGTGCAGGTGTGTGTTGGAGCTGTGCAGGTGTGTGTTGGAGCTGTGCAGGTGTGTGTTGGAGCTGTGCTGGTGTGTGTTGGAGCTGTGCAGGTGTGTGTTGGAGCTGTGCAGGTGTGTGTTGAGCCAAGATACCCCCACTGATCCTTCCCTTTTCCCCACACCCCATCTGAGCTCCACACATCTACCCACACCCACCTACTGTATACCCACTTAAATCTACCCACACTCTCACACCTACCTAAATCTCCCTACACCCACACATACACCCCTGCCCACACCTCCCTACACCTACATACACACCCTGCCTACACCTCCTTACACCTACATACACTGCCCATCTCCCCACACCTACACACACACACCTTGCCTACACCTCCCCACACCTACATACACCCTACCCACACCTCCCTACACCTACATATACCCCTGCCTCACACCTCCCCACATCTACATATACCCTGCCCACACCTCCCCACACACCCACATACACCCTTCCTACACCCCCCTCCCACACCCACATACACCCCTACCCACACCTCCCCACACCTACACACACCCTACCCACACCCTCCCCACACCTACATACACCCCTGCCCACACCTCCCCACACCTACATACACCCCTGCCTACACCTCCCCACACCTACACACACCCCACACCTCCCACACCCACATACACACCTGCCCACACCTCCCCACACCTACATACACCCTGCCTACACCTCCCACACCTACATACACCCTACCTACACCTCCCACACCCACACACACCCTACCCACACCTCCCCACACCCACACACACACCCTGCCCACACCTCCCCACACCACATACACCCCACCCACACCTCCCCACACCCACACACACCCCACCCACACCTCCCCACACCACACACACACCTGCCTACACCTCCCCACACCTACACACCCTACCCACACCTCCCCACACCTACATACACCCCACCACACCTCCCCACACCCACATACACCCTGCCCACACCTCCCCACACCCACATACACCCTACCACACCTCCCACACCACATACACCCCTACCTCCTACACCCCACATACACCCCTGCCTACACCTCCCTCACACCTACACACACCCCTACCTACACCTCCCCACACCTACATACACCCTGCCTACACCTCCCTACACCTACATACACCCTGCCTACACCCTCCACCTACATACACCCTACCTACACCTCCCTACACCTACATACACCCTACCTACACCTCCCTACACCTACATACACCCTGCCCACATCTTTCATCTGGGAATCTGCACTTCATTACGTTGATTATTATTCATGGATATTTATATTACACTCTCTACACCCAACTACACTATAAGACCTCCTCAGATCCCGGACGTGAACGCAGCAACAAGTTCTCTGGTTCTGTTCTTGTTTGTGTGTAGAGGCGAGCGGTGGTGTTGTAGAGAGAGGCGGGGGGGCAGGACACGACGAGGGTGTCTGAAAGCTAAGTTGAGTTCACCTTCTGTTTTCGTCAATACAACCACGAGCTGGTTCACACACCATCCTGGTTACCAGCGGTGGGGTAGAGGAGGAGGAGGAGGAGGAGGAGGAGGAAAAGAATGGAAGAGATAGAAGAGGAGGAATAAGAGAGAGGGGAGAAGGGATATTGTGAAGGAGGAAGGAAGTGTATGAAGAACACCACCTGGTGTATGAAGACCACTGCCTGGTGAACACCGCCTGGTGTATGAAGAACACCGCCTGGTGAACACCGCCTGGTGTATGAAAGAACACCTGCCTGGTGAACACCACCTGGTGTATGAAGAACACTGCCTGGTGAACACCACCTGGTGTATGAAGACCACCGCCTGGTGAACACCACCTGGTGTATGAAGAACACCACCTGGTGTATGAAGACCACTGCCTGGTGAACACCGCCTGGTGTATGAAGAACACCGCCTGGTGAACACCGCCTGGTGTATGAAGAACACCGCCTGGTGAACACCGCCTGGTGTATGAAGAACACCGCCTGGTGAACACCACCTGGTATGAAGACCACCGCCTGGTGAACACCACCTGGTGTATGAAGAACACCGCCTGGTGTATGAAGAACACCGCCTGGTGAACACCGCCTGGTGAAGGAAGAACACCGCCTGGTGAACACCGCCTGGTGTATGAAGAACACCGCCTGGTGAACACCGCCTGGTGTTGAAGAACACCGCCTGGTGTGCGAAGAACACCGCCTGGTGAACACCGCCTGGTGTATGAAGAACACCGCCTGGTGTATGAAGAACACCGCCTGGTGTATGAAGAACACCGCCTGGTGTATGAAGAACACCGCCTGGTGAACACCCACCTGGTGTATGAAGAACACCGCCTGGTGTAGAAGAACACCGCTGGTGTATGAAGAACACCGCCTGGTGTATGAAGAACACCGCCTGGTGTATGAAGAACACCGCCTGGTGAACACCACCTGGTGTAGAAGAACACCACCTGGTATGAAGAACACCGCTTGTGTGCGAAGAACACCGCCTGGTGTATGAAGAACACCGCTTGGTGATGAAGAACACCACCTGGTGTATGAAGAACACCACCTGTGTGGTGAAGAACACCGCTTGGTGTATGAAAACACCGCCGTGGTGAAGAAAAACCGCTTGGTGAAGAACACCACCTGGTGTAAGAAGAACACCGCCTGGTGTAAGAAGAACACCGCTTGGTGTAAGAACACCACCTGGTGGCGAAGAACACCACCTGGTGTATGAAGAACACCGCCTGGTGTATGAAGAACACCGCGGTGGCGAAGAACACCGCTTAGGCGAAGAACACCGCCTGGTGTGGCGAAGAACACCGCTTGGTGTATGAAGAACACCGCTTGGTGTAAGAAAGAACACCGCCTGGTGTAGAAGAACACCGCTGGTGTATGAAGAACACCGCCTGGTGTATGAAGAACACCGCTTGGTGTATGAAGAACACCGCCTGGTGTATGAAGAACACCGCCTGGTGAACACCACCTGGTTTATAAAGAACACCACCTGGTGTAAGGAAGCACCGCTGGTGGCGAAGAACACCGCCTGGTGATGAAGAACACCGCTTGGTGTAGAAGAACACCACCTGGTATGAAGAACACCACCTGGTATGAAGAACACCGCTTGAGGCGAAGAACACCGCCTGGTGAACACCGCCTGGTTAACACCGCCTGGTGTACACCACTGCCTGGTATACACCACCGCCTGGTATGAAGAACACCACCTGGTGGCGAAGAACACCGCTGCAAGGAAGAACACCGCCTGGTGTGTGAAGAACACCGCCTGGTGAACACCGCCTGGTTAACACCGCCTGGTGTACACCACACGCCTGGTATACACCACCGCCTGGTGTATGAAGAACACCGCCTGGTATGAAGAACACCACCTGGTATGAAGAACACCGCTGGTGAAGAACACCGCCAGGTGAAGAACACCGCCTGGTGAACACCGCCTTGATGAAGAACACGCCTGGTGAACACCGCCTGGTGTACACCCACCGCCTGGTGTATGAAGAACACCGCCTGGTGTATGAAGAACACCGCCTGGTGAACACCGCCTGGTGTATGAAGAACACTGCCTGGTGAACACCGCCTGGTGAACACCGCCTGGTGTATGAAGAACACCGCCTCGTGAACACCGCCTGGTGTACACCACCGCCTGGTGTGAGTGACAGCAGCGGCCGCCAGCTTTAAGGACAATAACGACATAATCCGATGCCACGTCGTCTGGTAGACAACACAATTTTAATTGAAATACCAATACTGTGGCGCAGCGGGCGGGGGGCCAACTGGCGCGGGTGGGGGCCAACTGGCGCGCGGGGCGGGGCCAACTGCGCGCGGGGCGGGGGCCAACTGCGCGCGGGCGGGGGGCCAACTGGCGCGCGGGGCGGGGCCAACTGGCGGGGCGGGGCCAACTGGCGCGCGGGCGGGGGCCAACTGGCGCGGGCGGGGGGCCAACCGGCGCGCGGGGCGGGGGCCAACCGGCGCGCGGGCGGGGGCCAACTGGCGCGCCAGGGAGCCAACCGGCGCGCGCGGGCGGAGCCAACTGACGCGCGGGGCGGGGCCAACTGCGCGCGGGCGGGGCCAACTGGCGCGCGGGGCGGGGGGCCAGTTTCGCAACGGGGCCAAACTGGTGTGCCGGGTGGGGGGCTAACTGGTATGCGGAGAAGGGCCAACTGGTGCGCTGGTGAAGCAACTGCGCGGGCGGGGCCAACTGGCGCGCGGGCGGGGGCCAACTGGCGCGCGGGCGGGCAACTGGCGCTTGGCGGGGGCCAACTGGCGCGCGGCGGGGGCCAACTGGCGCGCGGTAACCGGTGCGCGGGGCCAACTGGCGCGCGGGAGGCCAACTGGCGCGCAGGCGGGGCCAACTGGCGCGCAGGGGCCACAACCCAGCGCGCTGGCGAAACAAACTGGCGCGCGGGCGGGGCCAACTGGCGCGCGGGGGCACGGCTTGCAGCGTGTGCCAAACTGGTGCGCCTGGTGGGGGCCAACTGGCAGCGGAAGGCCAACTAACGCGCCAGGCCAACCAACTGGCGCGCGGGCGACCAACTGGCGCGCGGGCGGGGCCAACTGCGCGCGGGAACAACTGGCGCGCAGGCGGGCCAACCGGCGCGCGGTCAACTGGCGCGCCTGGCGGGAGCCAACTGGCGCGCAACAACGGCGCAGCGGGCCAACTGGCGCGCGCGCGAGCCAACTGGCGCGCTTGGCGGGGCCAACTGGCGCGCGGGCGAGGGCCAACTGGGCGCGCGCGGGCGGGGCCAACTGGCGCGCGGGCCAACGCGCAATAACTGGCGCGAACAGCCGGGCGGGGGCCAACTGGCGCGGGGCCGGGGCCAACTGGCGCGCAGGCGAGCCAACTGCGCGGCGGGCGGGGGCCAACTGGCGCGCGGGCGGGGGCCAACTGGCGCGGGGCGGGGGGCCAACTGGCGCTTCTTTCGGCCCCTGGCAAGTTCTTGCTTGTTCGTTTTATTTAGACCGGTCCGGCAATACGTACCGGAACCAAAGCGCTACCGAT